AATTCACACTCAAGAAATTTTATATTTTTCTGAGCCCGTTTTGGAGGCACAAGAAGCCATAATGCTAGGAACGAAAATCTATTGCCAACGTACAGAAGGGCTGGGAGGAAGATGCGGGGAGGGCTACTGGCCTGATCCGGTGGCCATGCAACCCAATTAAAGTACAAAAGTGGAACCATAAAATGCTCACCAAACTAGCACAAGAATTTAGCTAACTCTTACTACTACATAAATTGAAAATTTAATAGCTAACTGGTGTGTCTTTCCCGAGGCCCTTTCATTAAGATTCACCCGATCACGCTTTTACGCCATGAGAAGTGTAATGTGGAGGATTCAAGAAGGCTATTTGCGTAGCAGCGTTCAAAGGTGACTCAAAACACAGTTTAAACCTAAATTTTAAGTGGATTAGCTGATAATGCCCGTTTTGGCTATGTACTCACACTTCCTCCAAGTCAAGTCAGCCAAGTAATAAACAACTGAGAGCCATTTTTTAGTGATCTTTCGGAGAGACACTGTCATAGACAATAGAGACAGTCTGAAATAGTATGATAAGAACTTAAACTGTGAGCAACTAAACTCTAATCTTTTCTGTGTCTCGCCAATTCGCCCTTTACGGGGGCGTGTGCCAAGTGTGTTGAAACTAGTGCATTGGCAACCAAACTACCTCTGAGTTCATGGACTTCAATACATCATTGTGGGGTTAATATTGTCTTTATAACACCGAGAACACCCTCTAAGTTGTACGATGAACTCCTGCTTATTCCTTCCTCCAAGTCTATTATGTGCATTGCAATACGGATTCGTCGTTTAGGTGTCGGATCTACACTTCTAAGTGTTTTAAATTTATTACTTAGCGAAGTGTATAGAAGCCATTGTAAAGGCTATGTTACCTCGTCTAATCCATTTAGTTTTTTTTTCTCTAAATTCTTTCTCACTCCGGTTAAATGATGGGCACTAACCAGAGGTTCCACCCTCAACCCGCCCTCCACATGGAAACCCACTAGCTCTGCAGTCACATTAGTCACTTTTCCGACATCCGAGGCAATTGTCAAAATTTTCATTATAATCTCCGACTGCCTGCTTCCCTAAAGCATTTGTTACTTTGACATTTAAAGGCGCCTTTCTCTGGCAAAAATTGCGGTGTGGTAGGATGATTCTCTCTCCCCTTCAAAGTACATTTTTAGCCGAGGAGAAGTGAGTTGTGTTTGTTTTTTTCCCTCCTTTTTCTTTTTAAAACTTTAAATTATTTTATTTTAAGGGAAAGAGGGAAGTTTAATTTAGAGTCGCATTTTGTTACCAAAAAAGCCGAGGAACTACTGATCGGGAGGAGATTTAAACATTAATTGGAACGTCAAATTGCAAGTATGCATGCTGCGGAAATGAAACGCATTTTTGACGTTGCTCGATTCTGAGTAGACCTTATTAGAATAATTTTTGTATGCAAAGAATGTTAAAGTGGGAAAATTAAAAGTACGAGTGGAATGCAGAAATAATGCTGGCTAAAATGGTCACGCAAATGAGTATGAAGTGCTTACTTGTATTTCCAATTTTGTTTGTAATAGTAGTGTAGCCTTTTGAGTCTGTCCTAGGCACAAGAAGGATAATACTGGAGCAAAAGACGCATTGCTATTATCGAGAAGAGTTGGAGGAGTTTTCGGCATGCTCAACAGGCAGAGGTGAAGTACTCTTGCAAGCAAAACAAAGGGTTAAACGAACAAGCTAAGCATTAATCAGCCCTTCAATCTTTGAACGCCATCGCTGGACCATTTCTCAGTCAATTCCCTGCATCAACCGTCACAATGTAGTCAGTGCTGTGAGAAAAACATCCATCAACCAAACAACTGTAGCAGTCAGCGAGGTTACGCGCCGTGGAGTGACTCGCATGCCACTGGTTCCTCTTGACAACCTCGCTAGATCTAGAGAATCGTTCTGTTTGGAAAATGGCCCTGGAGAAGAAAAAATAAAGTAACTGTTTCTTATTTCCTTCATTACTTCCAAAATCCGTGGCCAATATGCAAAGCCATTCAATAAATAATGAGGTGTGAAGTAGTCCAGTGGGGATTAAAACTTTATTATCACTTCGGTTCTGCCCTCCACCTGGACTTTCCAGGTTGTTTGAGGCCGGTGTTGCTTCATTTGCTTATGGCATAGCTAGAAAACAAGGGGCCGGAATGGCTGTGAATGGGGGATGTCACAAGTTCTCCCACCTGTGGCCCTGCCCAGCTTCCATAATTTTATGATTGGATCGGCTTTACGTGGCTCTTAATGCGCCTCTTTGGACCTGGACCTCTGCACTAGAAGGGACTTTGCTTTGCTGATGTAAAGAAGGACTGACGCCGTTGAGGACTAAAACAAATTTGATGCCATTTTATCATGACAACTAGCATGAGATTTCTTTAATTGCTTAGACTCACTTTTTAAGACAAGAAAACAGTTTTTTTTTTATTTAGGTAAAATGTTGAGTTAAGTGTACAGCTCCCTTCATTGCATGTTACAAAATTTATTTGGAATTTGGATCACAGGAAGATGACACATTTCTGCTGCTGCTCAAATCTTTATTAACTAAAACAATGGCCTATCAATGCTTCAGAGTGGTGTGAGTAAGCAAAAATCCGCCAAAGTTGCAGCCTTCTGGCTGACAAAGGTCTCTCAGCTATGGCCAATCAGAAGGAATAGAATCCCAACTCAATTCAACACAGATCAAAGTTATTAGCCGAGACTATCGCATTTAAATGTGTTATTAAATTACTCAACAATTTATAAAATTATTTTAAAAGTCCCCCCTGCTACGGGATTTGGAAGTGATACGATCAAAACGCGAGGAGGCAACAACAATTCCGCCCCTCTAATTCTGTGTTCTGCAGCTTTACTAGGCGCTGCAGTGCCAACGTCTTTGTGAGAAGTTAAAAAGAATGTTTGTTTTTAAATGCAATGTGACATTTCTTGGGCTTTCGACCTCTAATGCACTTAGCTTGTCTGTTTTACTGTCTACCTATCTGTGTGACAAGAAGATTTGTCGTATCACAGTACAATTCAATGTCTGCAAATCAAATTTCACCAGACCTTCTCAACTGACAAAAAAAACTGGAAAAAGTCAAGCCTTGAGGTGTCACACATTCAGGGATTTGGGTCGTTTTAATGCGAGCCTCTTCTTCGACACAGACACCTGTGAAGGGAGATGTTAACTTACCAAACTTAAAACGACTACTATCACTTTGCCAATAACATCCTGCCAGAGGGATTCAAATGGGTTTGTATCTTACTTACTCTCCGGGAGCGCGTCTCATCGAGATGCTAACTTATGAGGTTCACAAAGCCGACTGCAAGAGAACTGTAGATTTTTCTTCTTTCCAATAATTGCTCAGTTGAGGGTGATTTATCTACATACGTCCCGACAATTAAGTCTTATATATTTTAGATGTAGTAAAGAAAGTTGGGAGAGGTGGGAGCAGATCCACTGTCATTGCGTCACATTTCTGATTTGTTTTACGATATTTTCATTAAAAAAACACCCAATTTTATAGTCAGATTTACTGTTAAAATAATAGAATGCAGAGACTTGGAATGGGCAAGATGATAAAGTCACTCGTAGAGCAGAAAATCGCAAGAGAAAATCTGCTTCACCCGAGCTCCCTCCGTGGAGGGAAGGATAGACTGTAAAGTATTGAGAGCTGGAAGGTCTGGGAAGAGGAAGACTGCTGACACGGTGGCCACAACTGCCCAATAAAATACAGAGAACTATTAACCAAACTGTTAAAACAATGAGACACCAAACCTTCCATAAGTAGTGTTAAGACTGAAGAATAAAAAAAACAGTCGTGAAGGACGAAGGAAATACTTAAACTGATACGGCTTCCAATAAGTCTGTGCTACAGGAGATGCAGTTTGATGATGTGTAAATTCGCAATATGGTAATGACTTGAGGTATTTCGTCATTTCTCGAACAACAACTGAAGCTGCCTTGCCCATTGAAGCCCATTTTACTTATCGACCGGCTAAAATTAACAATTGACGCGGCTCTAGAAGTTCGGAGTACCCAACTTTTCTACCCAACTGCAGAGAATGGGAGATTTGCAGCTGTGCACACTCACCAAACTCCCTGAATGCTAGGTTCTTCTATCTTGGACATATTGCTCGCTGATAAGTCAGAGGAGAACCTTCTCTGCAAAGCGCCTTGCAGCATAACTCTGACTTGAATCAAAGTTATAAGAAAAGGAATGGCCTTGTTCGGATGACCACCTACAAGCCATCAGTCAAGTGAACAGAAAAGCTTGACTGTCCATCCTAATACTTTTGCCTCATCATAAACTTGAATCAAATTTCCTTGAGAGGTGGAAAAAGAGTTGGAAATTAGTAACTAAAAGACGGTTTAATTAAGCCTTCGTGTTGAACAGCTCAAACTGCTTGGTTTACTTGTGTGCTCAAGGCAAACGCTATTGAACAATTAACTCTTCACTTTCTGTTCCTATTTAATAATTGAAGAGGTAGAGCTAAGTTAAAAGAATAAAAAAGAACTTTTTTCTAAATTTTTATTCCAAAGTGGTGAGTGCAGCAAAAATGCTTTGCGGTTGTTGAGAGAGGGGTATATTCAATCTAACTGCACACGTGAGGTCCTTAACTGAAAAATCAGTCTCCTGGCACGTGTTGCGCAGTCCCAGAGGGAGGAGTGATTGTAAACACTTAGGCATTAACATAAAGAAATAAAATTTAGATTTATGGTTGAAGAGAAGGAGAGATTTGATCAAAGATGCGCATAAGAACCTTCCAAATGGTGACAGTATTTGATCAAATACAGTGACGCCTTGTAGCTCCTTGCCTGTGATTTGCGTGCAAATCAATTGGTTTCCTCCAATACACGCTGGTCAGCTATCTACTTCACGTAGTGGTAAGAGTATGGCTAACGCATGAACCGGAGTGGTTGGTGATTTGCATAAACTCTAGCACAAGGTGCCGCCAGTCGCAATCACCAACATTACGGCATCTGGCTACTATGCACAGTAATGGTGCTCATCAAGCCCATTAAACCTGCCAGTCAATTGAAATTGGAAGCTGCAGCGGTGCACAAACCCACCCTCCTCAGTTTGGTGCAGCGGAAGCAGAGCATGCATCAGGGCGATCCGGATGTATCTCCACTAGACGCGATTCGAATGCGACTTATGGAACAGCGGAAACAGTCAGCAGACTTAAGCGAAACTCGCACTCCAACTGATAAGCCTACGTCCGCCACATCATCAGCCGAAGGTGAGAGAGAGGAGGTGTTTAAATACAAAGATGAAACAAAGGATAACTTATTCGAAAATGGTGAAGAGGAGGAATCTCATACACGGGAGGAGAGAGACCTCATTGAGATGTAACTTTCTATTGTCTTTTATGTCAAATATACGCTTTTACGCATATAATAAGAGTTTATGAATTTATAGTTAGCCGAGGAATAATTTCTTCACTTGATACCTCTTTGTCACAAATACCTTTTCAAAAAGGTCACATTCGAGCCATGATAACCTACCCATCGACACTTGTAAGAGGTGCCGTTTAAAACCTCATCTACCGGATGCTTGACCACTAGACACTCAAAGTACACTTTGCAGTAAATGGAACCCACAGCGCTTATCACAGAAATCCATTAAGTTAAATGTTATTCTATGTAGCCAGTTGAAGAGAATTTACCTGTAGATCTTTCATTTATAGGCTGACTCTCTCGTTTTTAATCCAGTGCAATCTTTCATTATCACAGTAGAGGTGTTAAGCATTTAAAGAAACCATTGGGAGGATTGTTATTTGACCTCATGACTTAAAATCTTTATCCAAAATCTACTCCAAGTGAATATGGCTTAAATTCTGAGAAGGCTTACTCAAAGCAATCATTGAACGACGCAATTCGGGAAGGAGAAAAACTCAATAGCAAAAAATGCAGTAAAACAATATCAAAAGAGTTTAGATTTGTAGTTCCGACATTTTGCGTTTGTATTTTTTGATTATTTGAAATATGTGAAGTAATTTATCAACCGCTGTCTATTTTTACTCCATTTGCGATCAATTTGTATACATCTACTTTAAGTCACGCAAGTGAATGAGATCGGTGCGGGAGATCACCTAGTAAATTGCTTAAAAAGCGATGAAGAGATAAAACACTGCTGCAAATACCTCTAAAATACCAACCTTTGTCATGATCTAGTAGGTATGATTGGGATGGATGAAAACGCAGTGTATCATCGCAGGCCAAGATGAGTTCAAGCCAATATTTACTAGCGTTATATAGGTGAGCTCACGCAGCAGTTTTTGCAACGTGTGTGCAACTCCAACATAAGACAACACGCTGCGCTCAAAGAAAATCACAATTTCTCCCAGTAACTGAAGTAGAAGGGAAATTTATTGTTCTGGCCATTCTAAAATTTTATTTCCTTTATTAAAATTTCACAAAATGATTCAACCTTATGTATTTTTAATTGCCAATGGAATTAGTTCCGCCGAGATGGGTTCGCGAATGTCTGAAAACATTTTTCTTAGTTTTAAACGAGGTATGGCTGGTAAATCAATGGCAAGCTTATCCTTGATAGCATGTAAAAGCAGTGCGTATGACTATAAACCACTTAATAAACGGGGTGCCAGTACCTTCGGCTTTTGGTGTTGAATGGGTGGTGACGCGCGAGTGTCTTGAGAACATAATTATTGGTAATTTGGCGTCAGAGTCGCACTGATCCGTGTTGCAGGAAGCCGAAAAACAACTTAAACTGGAAGATTTCAGAGAGACTCAAGCTTTGTGAATCAATCGATTAAAAGGACCTGTTCAAGTTTATGATGTGTTCAAGTAAATTAGCTATTAAAGTGACAAGAAGTTCACGTGACTCTTTCAAATCCGCGTCCTTAGATCAATTACCTCAGCGATTGTAACCGTGTGGCTTCCGCATGACAGAGTAAAATCTGGCTACTTTTTTAACATGAACGAAATTACCGAATATCACAGTCTGTGGCCAATGCTGAGTGGGGGAGCTATGAAAAATCGAAAAAATCAAATTGAAGCTGATCTCAAAACCCTGATCAATGAGACATACCATGAGACACGGCCACTCACGGAACGTCTTGCCTTCAACACGAATGCAAGAGCCACAACCAGTTCACCAGATCGATTAAGAAGGATTTTTGCCGACCGCCAATCACATCGAAGCCTTGCAGAACAGAAGGTCAGCGATTGGCTACTCAAATACCGCTCTTACACCCATATCCCACCAAAGGACTTAAGTGATGTTCCAGAAGAAATTTGGGCCCCTCTTGATATTGAACGTAGCTCTAAAAACAATGCCGCTTCTGCTCTTGGATGTGTCAGATGCGGCAGCACAGTCCATGGACCTCGTATCAAGCGCAGATCGATGGTCTGTTCCAAAGGCAGACCATCAAGACTGCCATCGGACAGCCAGGCATTGTCATACAGTAGAGCAAAAATTTGGGACGGCAAAGGTCACCAACCCTACTTTTTTCAGCCACCTTACAAAAAAGCTGAATACTACCTAAAAACTAGTGAAGAGACAACTAGGTCAGGTGCATTGCAAAGCATCGACAACTATATAAACGTGAGCAGAGGTCTGCTTAAAGGCTCGAAATTACTGTCATAAGGCAAGGATTGTCGCATCTATATTTGTTTCTCCTATCCTTGTTTTTCTTTTCCTTTTACATTTCCTTATGTTTTGAGTGTTACCGACTTCCGGTTTGCCCATCTTTCCTCCTGTCAATTTTTCCTAATTTTCTTCACGCTATCTTTAAAATGAAACACTTCATAAACAAATTAAAGAAATTTCAAAATGCGCCAATGCAGACAAAGCCATCCGCCCAGCTTTACTGCAACTTGAAAAGTACTAAAAATGTTTACAAGTCATATATTGAGCGGACTGGCTCTTTTACTTGGTCATGATGGTGAGTAAGAATTAAAAAATAACTTTAGTTAATATGGTCACGTCTTAGGCGACAAAGGAAGGCATGTATTACGTTAAGCAGGAAGGAATTGGCTGTAAACATTGCCTAGGGCCTAGCCAACCTTGCAAGTTCATCGTAATCACCTCAAATGGTCATAATCTCAATTAACAGTCAAAGCAAAGGCATTGTGTAAATATTCTGCATGATGAAGTCATGTATGGTTACAGAAAAGTTGTTGTTAAATGAGTAGACAAGACGCTAAAAAGCTCGATCAAAACCCTGAATATGTTTTTAGCCACCAAACCGGGTTAAGGCTTCTCCTCCACTACTCTTTCTGGAGAGGCTTTTACTGGTGTAAGTTTATTAGACAATGCTGCATTGGCAGGTACATATCGTCACCTATGCACGGCTTTTGAGTTGATGTACACCAAACCATTTGTGAGGGTCATTTAAACACAACATTTCTCATAATGTTATCAAAATGATGACAAAGGGAACTTCTAAAAGGCTTCTGAATTCATTTAACGAAATGTTGGTAACGAGTATGGTCCAGAATGACAACATCAATCTTCATTTAAGATGTCGTATATTCCAAGAAGAGGAGATTAGCGTTACCGAGAGGAAATAGGCTCATTATATCAATTAACATCTAGCAAAAATAAAAAACATCCAACATTTAGTATTGCGTTGCATCTTTCAAAGTTTTGCAAGATCATGTCCACTGCCATTGTAATAAGTCAAAAAAATTACCAGAATTTTCCGGTTTCATTATTAATATTTGTTTTAAGTGACGAGTAGGCCATCCACACAGGTCGTTGCTAGAGTTGTACTAAGCTGTGGACAATTTTAATGAGACCTGGTTTCATAATAAACAGTCTTAAAATTGCCTGCGATCTAATTTAAAAGTTTGTGAAAATATTGAACTAATAATAGAGTTGAATTAACTTATTGTCTAAAAAAACATTAGTATGCATGCCATTGTTAAGTCTGGCACGTATCAGACCGGAAAACGTTTTTCTCCTTTTATCTGATAGACAGGTAACTGTTATATAAAAACTTCTAGCGTAGAAGATTTGATTTTATCTCTTTTCTGGGTCGAGAATTGTTGTACCGGTTTTATTAAAAGAGTTAAATTCCTTTAAACATGGATAAAGTTATGTGTATGGATAGCGCAAGGAATTGTTTAGACTAAGGTGAAAATCATTTACAAATCGGAAAAGATTAAGGCCTGATTTTAATTTGTGGTTGAAAGTGTTTCAAATCCTTTCTTCCATTTGTACATTCCAAAATGCAGCTCATTTCTGTTATGCACATCCTAATCGTAGCTCAGACCGCTCACGTGATTAACTCAAAATTTGAAGGTTTGTTGCTAGGATTTGAACTCCTCACAAGCTTTTTAAGTGCTGAAATGTTGTAAACCTGCTAAACACACCCATTCTAGTTGTAGCAAAATATTTCAATCATGCTCGGAGCCTCATGAAATTTTCACCGCCACTTTGGTTTTTGATTTGGTCGGGAAGTTTCCCGTACTAAATAGTAGCTTCTAATTGTTTTAAATAAAATTTAGGGTATAGTTCCACTTAAGTTCAGAAACTTATTTAGGGAGGTCTCTTTGACTTTTATTATGTTTAATTCATAAAAAATAAATCCAGAGGTAAGAAAATTTGATATTAATAAGCCAGCGCTCTGATTATAACTTTGCCTTTACTATTCAGAGATAAAAGCCATATTGAATACGATAGGGTGTTTTATTAAGTTGGAACCAGCAAGGACTCTTGTTCAGCGCAAGTGGCGTGATTAAGTATTCGAAGACAAACTTTGAAGACCTGCCCAACCAGTGTTACAAACTAATTACTCCCAATGATCAGCAACAGAAGAGACACAATCAGCTCCTTATTTGCTTTTGGCTTGCGGTAATGTCGCTACTTTTACTAATGATTAATGTCAAACCGTTATCCCTATATACGTGACTCATTTTCCTGATAAAATCACAGACCAGATAAAAAAAACTCCCAAAGCGACTGCATCGAAGTACAGCGAATATGTTAGTTTTGTGTTTCTCAGCAAAATGATTTTTATCCCGGTATGCAGTCTATCGTTCAAAATACAAATCAAACAATAACCGAATAACAATTTTGACTCCATAAGACCAAAAACCGACTAGCTAAACCATCACCATCAGTGAGTCAGTCACTGGATCTCGTGTGCAAATGAGGATGGATAAACATGTGTGACAGCTAGTCACCGCGCACTGCGGCACCGATCCGCTGTCGACATCACTTGAGCGCAACATGGAGTCTGGTTTCACGCAAATGTCAGGGAAACTTATACCCATCGCACCATTTCTAACAACACTGAACAATCGTTCCTGTTTCTCACTATGCGTGTAAAACTCACCTGAGCTTTCTCGTGGTGATAACCTAATCAAGGCACCGCTTTTGTTGTC